ATTTTTAAAATAAACTAGGTGTTTAGCCCGCGTCTTACGCGGACAGATATGGTTCATAAACTATATAAAACCAAATACAAATATAACAATAATATAAGATTTTTGACCAATCTAGAAAAACAGCTTCTTCATCTTCTTTCTATTATTCTTTCTTCTCGTCTTCTTTGACTGCTTCCAATCCATCATATTTGTCTTTTCTAGTTCCTTATTCTTCTGCTTTTTGTTAGCATCCTTTCGCATCTTCACCTTCTCAAACTTTTTTATATTCATTTTCCAATCTATTTTCTCATGTTTAAATCTGGTTCCTTAGATTGGCTTTCTCATACATTGACTGGATTCCAATAATATTGTCCTAATTCTGAATTCTCATTCATTAGCTTCGTCTTCTTCTTCTTCCCCCCATTCTTCGTCTTTTTCTTCTTCCTCTTCATCGTCTCTGACTTCTACTTCTAATTTTTCTTCTTTATCGTCTTTGTCTTTCTCTGACTTCTTTCTTCTTATTTTTCTTTTTTTTCATTATCCTTATTTATCTCGTCTTGTTTTACTTATCCCCATCTATCGCATTTGTCTTTTTTTATTCTATATTCTTTTGTTTTTTCTTAGCTTCTTTCCGCATTTTCACTTTCTCAGACTTGTTATCTTCGTCTTTCAGTCTCCTTCCTCATTTTAACGCATGGATCTTTTGTATTTTTTGAATTATTCTTCATCAGCTTCGTCTTCTTCTCTCTTTTACATTTTTTCATCTTCCTCATCATTTCCTTATTCCTATTCATCGTCTTCAACTTCTATATTTTATCTTTTTTATCGGTTTTGTCTTTTCTGAATTCTTCTTCTTATTATTCTTTTGGTCTTTCTTCACCTTTTTATTCTTTTTTTATTTTTTCTATTATTTTTACTTATCTCGTTCTCGTCTTTTTCCTCTTCTACTTCTTCTCGGCTTCTCTCTCTGTGAGAATCTTGTTTCATCGATTTCGAAGCTTGAGTAAGCTGATTTTGTCGAGAGTTTCTGGGAAACCCCCACAACAATATATCTGTGATTCCAATAACATTGGTACTCATATTGTTATTTCTCATACATCGATTGGCTTTTACCAAAGTACTGTAGGTAAAACCTTCAATGAAAAAGGATGTCATAGGATGATTTTAACAAATGATTTCATATTTTGCAGTTAGATTGGATGTTACCAGATTTAATTATATACAAGAGCTGAATTTTAAGTCAGGTTTGTTTGCCTGGTATTTTGTTGCCTCCTATGTAAAAATTCAGTAGCATTGTTTCTTCTTTTTATTTTCTTGATTCTTGACGTCTCAATATTATCTTGGGCAAAATATTGGTATCAAAGTTTTGATTATCTTAAACACGATCTGCGAGAGAGATGGACATCAATGCTGCAACTTCCATAACCATGACAACAGACTCTACATAAAACCAAGGAATTTCAAAAAATTTGTTCTCATGTATCATTGGTTTTCAGTGGCATTAGCACAAAACATACATATTATCTAAGGGCCCATGAACGACTATAACTTCACAGAAAAATAGCATGTCTAAGGAGAATAGGTGAAAAATAAATAAAAAAGTGCTAAGAACTCATAAGCTTCTCTCGTGTCCTTGATAAGGAATACAGTGGAGACACTTTGAAGATAAGTTGTTCATTACCCGTTTTTCTTCAAGTCTGTTAAGACCAATTATCTTCAATTTTCTTCAACATCTCCAGATGAAAGCCCCTGATGCGGTGTTCCTAAGTATCCAAAAACCTCCTCCAATGGTAATAGACCCTGTCAAGCTCAATCTTCAAAACCCTTTTTGCCACTTTCATGAATCCAATTATTAAAAGTAAAATTAAGGAAACCACACATCATTTACCTTCTCTACTGAGAGTATCAAGATCCAGCAATGGCTTGTCTAAATAGTAGGCCATGCTTAAAGCTTCAAAAGCCAATGTACAACTTCAAAGTCAACAACAGTCTTTCATCGCAAAACATTCAGAATCCCTGTTAAATTACGACCATGAAGTCTTTCATCACATTTTCTTAGTGTCTTACGTCTCCTCTTATATTGAACTATGTGTTTTGGATATGTTTGATAACGTTTTACGTACCCGGAACAAAGAATATAAAAACAAAAAGTGAACACAAACCCAAACACATAAACATGCAAACCTAGAAGCCAACTCAGAATAACGAATACCTCCAGCCTCGGGAAACCCACGGTTACACTCCATCAAAGCCGCAGAAAATTGACTCTATTGACTACTGTAACCTAGATCCCCACCATCAACAAACAAAATGTTGCTCAGGAAGACGAAACAATAAAATGCGAACACCAAAAAATAAAACCAAAAACATATCAAACAAAAAATAAAACACAAGCCCAATACAGAAAGAAAACAATAAAAACAACTAATTTTACATTTCGACACCACTGCAAAACACAATAACCAACGCCACATCAAATCCAAATTAAACCATGTCCACCTAAAAAGAAAACAAATACCAAACTAAAGCAAGTGTACAACCAAATAGAAAAATGCAATATAAAAGTAAAGAAAACCCAAACCAAAAGAAAACCCTTAACGAAACCAAAAAAAAGAAGAAGTAGAAACGAAACCACAAAAGAACACCAAAGAGTCAAAAGCAGAACGAAACAAATGCAAAACTCTCAAACCCGCTAACTTGGTACACAAGGAATTGATAACTCCAAAAGAACAGGACCGACGCATACACCGAACTAAGAAAATAAAAACAGAAAAGAAACTAAAAAAAGTAAATCAGGGAAAGTGGCAAACAAACTATTAGAAAAAGAATTACCACCAAAGAGACAAAAGCAAAACGAAGTAAACCCGAAACTCTGAAACCCGCTGACATGATATAGAATAAATTGATACCTCAAAAGAACAGGAACAGGGTCCAATTTCCCACCTATAAAGCAATACAATAAACAAATTTCAGTTTGTATTATAGCCTATTAGTTATGGTGGAGTTGATACCATCTGTATAATATGGTTGGAGTGGCCACGAGGCGGAGATTCTCTTATATTTTGAATACTGAATAGCCCTAGCTTCGGGAAAGAGACGATTACAATCCATCCAACCCAAAAATTCAGTATGATGATTAAAAGAATCCAGATTCACATGCATCATGGGAATACAAAATCCTTGATGCAGGTAGATGAAATAAAACTCTTAAGTTTAGGCATAAAAACACAAACAGACCTACCTCTCACTTAGACACAAAAGTAATCCTCCCAATAGGAGACGAAGAACATCTGTTAAAATAATAACATGAAACCAAAGCACTCAAACTCAATAACATTTGAACCCAAAGAAAACTCAATAATAAAACCAATAACAGTACCGATAAACAAACAACGTTACGAAAGCACAAAATGGAACCAAGATAAGAAAAAAAATGGAGGCCATGGAAGTCACCTGTTTCAGATGTTGGAAAGCCAAAGTACTTACGCAGCCTCTTAAACTTTCTGCAATATGGTGAACAAAACCTTAGAGTTATATTACTAACGATAAAGCAAGACCAAACTCATAAAGCCAACGAAAACAAAACAAACAATTAAAAAATATGATGCTAGATAAAAGTAAAAATTACAGCAGGAATAACAAACGTAAATAATGATCTATGAAGGGATGAGGCTCGATATGACTACGATCTAGGGTTTTAGATTTGTGACTGCATCTAGAATTAAGATTTGCTTTTTTTTTTTCTTCTCAAATGGTGACGACAATTGGGCTATAGCTCAATATGTTTTCTGCATTATACAACCCAATAGTAAATGAACCCGGATAAAAAAATCGGTTGGACAATCTAACGCTATTTGTTGATTTTTAATGAAAACCATGTTAAACTTAATTTAAACCAAAAATAAGGTTAATATTAACTTTTTGTTGAGGGATAGGATGATAATTAGCCACCCTCAGAATGAATGAGAGAGCTGGAAAGCTAAAATTTACTTCACTTATAATATATATGATTATACAACCCAATAGTAAATGAACCCGGATAAAAAAATCGGTTGGACAATCTAACGCTATTTGTTGATTTTTAATGAAAACCATGTTAAACTTAATTTAAACCAAAAATAAGGTTAATATTAACTTTTTGTTGAGGGATAGGATGGTAATTAGCCACCCTCAGAATGAATGAGAGAGCTGGAAAGCTAAAATTTACTTCACTTATAATATACATGATTATACAACCCAATAGTAAATGAACCCGGATAAAAAAATTGGTTGGACAATCTAACGCTATTTGTTGATTTTTAATGAAAACCATGTTAAACTTAATTTAAACCAAAAATAAGGTTAATATTAACTTTTTGTTGAGGGATAGGATGATAATTAGCCACCTTTAGAATGAATGAGAGAGCTGGAAAGCTAAAATTTACTTCACTTATAATATATATGATGATATCTCAGATCTGTGAATTTATTTACAAAACTTCTTAAGAGAAATTAAAAATAAATTTTCATAGCTTTATCAGTAGACGCGCGTTGGTAAAAAATGGAAAATCCTATACAACGGTCAGTAAAATGGAAAATCCTATATAACGGTCAGATCATAAATAGCCACCTTTAGAATGAATGAGAGAGCTGGAAAGCTAAAATTTACTTCACTTATAATATATATGATGATATCTCAGATCTGTGAATTTATTTACAAAACTTCTTAAGAGAAATTAAAAATAAATTTTCATAGCTTTATCAGTAGACGCGCGTTGGTAAAAAATGGAAAATCCTATACAACGGTCAGTAAAATGGAAAATCCTATATAACGGTCAGATCATAAAAAGGAAAGAAGGAAAGTTCGAAGAGGCTTGAGTTTACTTATCACTACTTGAGTTTTACGTCTCTCTCTATATATATAAACACATCAGAATCAGATCACGTCACATTCTCTAACAATTCCCAGTTTTCTTTCCCTTGAGAAACCCTAATTTGTTGAGTCGAGAGAAAGAGAGAGAGAAAGCTTACAAAAAAGAACGATGCAGAAGCAAGAGTTCTTGGAACTGTTTGAGGCAGCGACTCGAGCGGCTAAAGCTGCGAGAGGCGGCGAGAATTCTACAGCTGTCTCGAGATGTCTTGACGCCATGAAGCGTTTGAAAAAAGCTCCCGAGTCTCTTGTTTGTGACTTGATCATCAAAACCTCCTCCTCCATTGGAGAGAATCACAGTCTTTTCACGGAGCACAAAAACACCCAAATCCGATCAGAGGCAAAGCTTCTTTACACTCTTTGGCTGTCGTATCTCTACGCCACCGGAAGAAAACAAAACCGACCGCCGGTGGTGAAGAAGAAGCGTGTGGAGATTTCGACGACAGGAGATTCTAAGCGAGACAAAGTACGTGAGATTCTTCAAACTTCGTTGTCTAAAGTCGCCAACGAGGTTGTTGCTGAGACGGAGATGAAGAAACGAGTCGTTTCTTGCGATCCATGGACTGTGGCCGTGTCGGTGGAAACTGCCATGTTTGAGAAGTTAGGTTGTTTCGAGGGGTCTCAAAAAGCAAAATACAGATCGATTCTGTTCAACATGGGAGATAGTAACAATCCAGATCTGAGGAGGAAAGTGCTACTTGGTGAGATCAACGGAGAGAGATTAGTGACGATGGACAAAGAAGAGTTGGGGAGCGACAAGATTCAGAAGGAAGTTCAACAAATCAAAGAGAAAGCAAGATTTAGGGAAGAGAATCGTCTGAAGATGATGATGCTTCAATCAGATCATATGATCATGATCTAACAAAGATTCTCTCTCAATTTTATTTTATAGTATGATTAAATCTCTTGCGGGTTTGAATGTAAACACGTTAAATCTCTTGCGGGTTTGAATGTAAACACGTTAAATCTCTTGCGGGTTTGAATGTAAACACGTTAAATCTCTTTAAGCAAATCAGTTGTAGTTCGGTTCAAGTTCATGAACGCTTCTTTCTAAATATGGTGTAGAACTAGATAAGGTATAGAAGACTCTCTTGGCAAGAGAAGGTTTCCACAATAGTAGACTGATAATAAATACCAAATAATGTTACTAATAACGTTTTCAATTTTATACATGTTTAATCCCCCAAACCAGCAATCACAGGCAATTGAAATGACGCAGCAAACAAAACAACTGAACCATAGTTCACTGTAAATGTTATATATAACCTCTCAAACTCAAGGCTCTTTCACAAAACAAAAAATGGATTTTCATATAGTTACAACTGAATCATAAATGGTCACAGTAAATGTTATATAACCTCTCCAACTCATATTAGTCACCTAATGTTTAATCCTCCTCGCTCTTATTTTCAGCCGTTGTTTTATCCGATACAACAACACCAGCTTCAACACGTTCGTTGCCAGATTTATATTGGTCATCCTCAAGTGACTTTTGAAACTGTTGAGGTTCGAGATCATCTGATGTATCATCTAAGGCTGGTGTATCTGCTTCCGGTGAAGGAAGTTTGATACCAATTCCAGTATTTTCAATTTCATTGCTCTTACTTTCAACTGATTCTTCCTTCATTCCAACAAAATGATCTTCGGATGAGGTTTTGTCCTTCTCGATTGTAAGAGCTTCTTCTATGAGAGATGGCTCTACTGTTTCCTCTTCGACCACTTTGATTTTGTCAACAAAATCTTCTCCTGTGGTCTCAGAGGCAGGGTCAGATGCAAGATGTTGATCATCAGCTTCTTCTGCAAGTGGTGAATGAATTTTCTCATTTGATTCATCATCCTGAAAAGATAAGCTCCCCAGAAAGCCTGGCTCCTCTTCAGCAATACTTTCGGTCTTTGACTCTGACCCTTCAGGATTTTCTGTTTCAGATCTCTTACTTTCAACTGATTCTTCCTCCATTTCAACAAGATGATCTTCGGATGAGGTTTTGTCCTTCTCGGTTGTAAGAGCTTCTTCTATGAGAGATGGCTCTACTGTTTCCTCTTCGACCACTTTGCTTTTGTCAACGGAATCTTCCCCTGTGGTGTCAGAGGCAGGGTCAGATGCAAGACGTTGATCATCAGCTTCTTTTGCAAGTGGTTTATCATCCTGAAAAGAAAAGCTCCCCAGTAAGCCTGGCTCCTCTTCAGCAATACTTTCTGTCTTTGACTCTGACCCTTCAGGATTTGTGGAAGCAGGAAAAGACTGGAAAGTGTCCCAATCATCATCATCATCATCATCATCGTCATTATCTTCATCATTTTCTTCCTGCATTCCACTTTCTACTGAGCTAAGCTGATTAGATGGTGTTGGTACAGTGGACAATGTTTCAGCTTTAATAATATCAGCAGAAGAGGCAGCTTTCTCAGGTGTTGCTACCACAGGTGCTGGTAGTTTAATATCCATTGGCGGAACCAAGGCTTTTGGTTTCGGAAGGGCGCTATCTTGAGAGACGGAAGCACGTATAATATCCTAAAACCAAATGGACAAGGACACCAATCAGATAGTTATTTCGAAATTTTGCAAGCAAAATGCATAACCCCCACAATAAATATTAACTGATTTGATCCTAATTTTAAGCTTCTATGCTGGATAACAGTTTGAATCATCGGGAATAGAAGCATAGAAGAAGAAAAAATAACAAAAGCCCAGCAAATAAAGCAAAAGTTTGGTTGATCAAACCAAAACCTTCGAAGACAATATTTCCAGATGTGTAAATCAAATTGAATGCATTCAAGAACCTGAAGCTGCTGTCGGTGTGTTGTTGGCAGCGACAGCAAAACATCCTTAAAGTGAACAGCTGAAGAAGACAACTGAGCTAGATGAGAAACAAGCCGTACAGCTACAGCTCTTAATTCGAGGACTTCCTGGTATTGATCCATAAAAACAAAAGAATTGAAGTTTACGAACTGCCTTCTGAGGAAGCAATTTTACAGGCTGGGCTAGGAATGGAACCTGAGAAACGCCATCTGAAGTCTTAGAGAAAACCACAAGAATGGATTCAAGAAAAAGCCTCATGAATCCCTTCTGAAGTTCATCAACATTTGAGTGTGTCTGAAGTAGCATTATGAGCCGTAGGCATTCACCAGCTATAACCACTGATTCCTTATTCATAGGTTTCTATTCAAAAGAATAAGAAAGAAGTCAGTTATCATACTATTTTTTTTTATCTAAAAGAAGTCAAGATTCCTCTTTACTCCTAGAAAGTAAAGTCTGTTAAAATTGGAAGGAAGAAACGAGAAAACAACCAGAAGCGCCCTCTGCATTAGACTGACAATATCTCCACTAAGTTCCCCAACAAAAAAGATCACAAAACATTTCTCCTCTGGGTTGTTGTAACGCTGTACCAAGCTTTTTAGGACTTGTAAGGCAGTAGCTTGAACCTGAAGATATTTGAACCAATTCTGTTAAGAGCTTGATAATTCAGTGGCTGAACTAAAATATGACAAGAAGGCAAGTCTCAGTTACCTGCATATTGGAATCTCTAACTACTGTTGCTATACTAGTGTGGCAACTCTTCAACATGGCAATACAGATTGAATTGGTATCAGTTTCATCTCCTGGACAGTCAAACTCGTAGGCAAGCTTAGCCAGGGAAAAAAGTTGTTCCAGACAGAATGCAAGCTTCAGCTGAAGAAGCTTGCGTAACCCTGATCTCTTGTTGTCCACGAGATTGATTCCGTTGATACAATCTTTGGTCAGATCATCAACCATGTGCAGACAAGCACCAAAAATTGCTCTTAGAGGAACGCTGCTATCGGCAACAAAATTAGTGGCATCTGCAATAAACGTTTCGATTAAACAGCTTCTACAAACTTTTCTATGTCCCAAGAAAGGAAGCAAAAGCTTGCAGTTGCAGCACAATAATTTCACCATTCTACATATGCTACTTCGGGGTCTCATAAAACAGCAGAAAGCATACATGATCTATACTGGAGGAAAGATCAAAATGAATACAATCTCTTACAGAACTTTGACACCATCGGATTAACCACCCCTAGTCAGCGTAGTAAACCAATAGTAAACCCAATTCCAAATCTATAACAACTTACTATCTGTTCATTTTTTCAAACTATTGACGACGCATCCCCATCAACAAGGAATCTTTCTGTTTTAAAGAAACATCATAGTGTATCATTATTTTAGATTTCATATGCTTTCTGTCTAAGAACGTAGTTGTTGTGTGGCCCAGGCAGCTGAAATGATAGCCGCCTTTATTATCATATTATCGCATTAGCTGTGGATTAAATTCTCATACCTGTAGACGGTTTTTGTGACGAGGTTCTGGTAAGCTCAAGCATTAACTCATTGGTGGACTTCACAATCTCAAGAGCTTTTGGTAGGTATGCGTCAGTGGGGACTTGCCGGATGCACTTATACCCACTTAGTAGAAAGGCCAGAGGTGCCGAATTTAAACGATACTGCATCTTACCAGCAATTATCAGATAGATGTAAGGAGTGCAACAAATAAAATTGAAATCCAGAAATGCAACAAAAAAGAAAAATTGTTCAAAGTTTACAAGTTACCTTCAACTCAAAACGTGTCACTAGTGTCTTTATGGAGATAAATAAAGGAGACAGCAAACTATCCCAAATGTCATCATCTGGCGAAATTTCATTATGCCTGAAACAGAAAAGAAGGAACCTTTGTTAGGGTTTCTTCCAGATGCAATTCAGTATATTTCACTCGACATGATTTTTCAGGTTCAAAATGAACAGAACTGGACACAGTTTCCAAAAATCTCCTGGTGAAGAGCGCACCTGTGAAGAATTTTGAACAAGTACCCCAGACAGAGTTCAATAGTCGAATACGCAAACTGCTCACTTTCAAAAAATTCTTTTGGACAGTTTTGTGAAATCTGTTGAAACGTGAAACAAACTTTATCAGAACGGGCATCTTTCAAATGCATAAGGCAAATAGTATATATAGTCCTGAAAAAATGAATCAGGAATCAGTTATTACGAGAAAACTCATCTAACGATGTCATAGTTCCAATTAAATTAAGGGGAAAAAGAACAGAGAAAAAGATTACAAATATACAAACGTTCTTGAACCTGATTTAATTGAATAAATGCACGCTAAAAATGATGCTCTAGAACCTAAACCTCCAATGGTTTCAGGAATATTAACAAGTAAAGTACCTGCTGTACTACGGATATTGCAAGAATATCCCATGAACTGTCCATATGAAAGGAAAACGAAAAAACCTGGATGAGATACAAAAATAAATAAAACCAATCAGAGGAGTGAATAACTATTCAAAGCTAACAGAGGACAATCAGAACAAATAAGAAAAGTGTGGGGTAGAGTTGATCTGCACAAAGCACAAGGTATTATGTGTTCCAAAGAGGGAGAATGTGAATGCTACAACCAATTTTAAATCCTTTCATTAACTGATAGTTTATGAACTACAACAGAATAGTATGAGAAGAATTTCAAGGAAGATAAAATATATGACGTGGACCTACCTGCAATACTTCTTGGCAGAGATCTATGCTAAGAAAGCCACTGGTGAAAAATCTTTCAGCACAAAGAGATTGGAAAATTGGTAATGCAATTTCATATAACTTTAGGCCCTGGAACGAAGATTCCTTAATGCTGGAGTCCCGACTATATTTGATTTTAGATGAGCCAAAAGGTATTACTTGCGTATCAGAGACTGGATGCATCCCCTGAAATAAGACAAGTACAGCGAAGCCCCATAGAAACTGATAATCTGCGACCTCTAGTGTAACCATGCGATGTTTAGATATCAAGGAACTATCAGAAAATCCTTCTACACTATGATTCACAGGAATTGCATCCAGGACCAAAGCTTGCAGGA